GTACATCTCAGACACATCCTTCATATTTCTACTAATACTGAAATAACTGTTATGTTTATAATCGTGCCTTTGGTAAAGTATGACAAAATGCATGATATAGGAGAACACTGAAAATTGGTATGCAGTCTCTTTCTTGCAAACATGCGGCATAAGTACCTGGTTAAGATGGTCTGGCTCCAGAGGCCATGCTTTATTTAAATCACAATCTGGCTTTAAATCCCCCTTTGCATTTTGCTAGTTGTGGGGTCTTTTGCAAATAACCTAATTTCTTTGTACCTAAACTTCTTTATCTGAAGATAATATAGCACTGAGCTGCTATGTGGATTATATGAGATAATATTAAGACAATGTCTTGCACAATTGAGTACTTTATAAATATTTTTAAAAAGACATATGCAAAGGCTGAGAAGAAAAATGTTCAACTCTTAAAATCTTGCTTTTGTTTGTTTCAGAAAGAGAGAGAGAGTGTGTGTGTATGCATGAATTGGGGAAGGGCAGAGGGAGAGGGGAGAGAGAGAGAGAGGGAGGGAGAGAGAATCTTAAGCATGCTCTACACTCAGTGTGGAACAGACGTGGAGCTCCATCCCACAACCCTGGATCATGACCTGAACCGAAATCAAGAGTTGGATGCTCAACAAAATGAGCCACCCAGGTGCTCCAACACCTCTTAAATTCTTAAGTATAATTATTCCCATTTTGCTTTTCCTTTTTTTTCTGTTTTGCGTCATCCTTATAAGAATGTCTTTTATGGTGACTAACAATGAAGGAAGGGCTTCATATAAAACAAATTTTTAGGAGGAATCTTAATATCCTCTGTACTCTTAAATTTTGATCTGCTATGTGAAATTTCCAAGTTGAGGAACCTTCTACAATAAAAGAAGAAATCGTGACAGGTTTGATAAGGTATTAACATTTTGAAGTTCATCCATATGTTTGTTTTGTTCATTATGTAAATAAGGGAGTTGTCATTGTAGATATTCAGCAAATAGTTATTCTTAAAGTCACTTAACTTTAGCATATATATTTTTTAATGAGAGAAGCTGTGTTTGGGATGAATTAAGTCTATTCTTAACTGAAAACAGCTAAATTAACTAATCAATCTTTCAAAATGTAAAATTTCTTTTTACTTAGAAACATTCAGGAAGGAGTGAAATGGAAGCACTCCTCAATAGATATTACACCCAAAAATAAAGATAGATAAACGCAAACAATTTTGTCTGAAATAAAGGCATGAGTCAGTTTAAAACTGAGAATCCATTTTTAAAAGCTATGTGGGTCTGTAAATAAAAAAAAATCACAAAGTTCATCAATAGAAACCAGTCACTGTAAATGGCAACCTGGAACTCTGAAATGTCAATTTCACACTGCACTAAGCATATCCTACCAAACATGACCAAACGGATGTTTGGAAAAATATCAACACCTGTTACTACATTCCTTGAAGTAATAGGTCAGTCATATTAGCCAGGTCAGGGACAAAACTGTATCCAGTTGGACTTACCTACTTGGGAATCATTTTCCATCTGTTTTAGTGTTTATTACTTTAAATCTGACGTGTTAATTGCCCTAGAAAAATCAGCTAACTCCACAAACAAACTGTAGCTTGGTGTGGTATAAGTAAATGCTAAGAATATCCTTAAAAAGCAGGTAAGGGGAATCTAAGTCAGAATTAGAACACGTTTATCTAGGATTTCAGGTTGACAGCCAAAATGCATAACCTATTGCATATGAGATGCCACTCATGTGCCCCTTTCAGTCAGGTGCCCACCATAGTGCTGACAGTATCAATCTAAATCATTTATTAGGTGATAAAAATTATTCAGGGGAGGACTATTTTCCATATGAGAAGTTCCCTTGGGAAAACACCTGAAATCTGGCCTCAGGGACTAAAGGCAAAAACATTTCCAATCTGACAACAAAGCATAAGAACGTATTTCTGTCTTACTCAGAACCTCTGGGGAATTTTCTCTCTCAGGGAGAGTGGGGTTAGGGGCTACCCAGTACTACCCAGGTCCTCCCAGACATGAGTAAATGAGGTCTTTCAGTATTGTGCAAATAAAGAGCAATTCCAGAAATAGAATTTTCAAATTCAAGCAGATTTAATTGAGGGTGATAAAGCACAGACACAATAGGTGACTTAGATTTAAGGATTACAAAGAGGCTAATGAACCCTTGACAAAAGTAACAGGTAGAATTTTCTCCATGTGCTTTTGGTCAAGTTTCTTTGCATGGTATCTGCCCACATTGCTATACTTTGGAAGAAAATGACAAAATAAGCCAGCTAGCAGTAAACTGCACTAAAATACCAGGTTTTTCTTATATTCTGAACAAAATGGTGGTCAAAGGCTGTAGCCTTTGATGAAAGCCAAAAACAGAGTCAAATAAAAGTCTGCAGAATCAAGAAGTCAAACACTGCTTTATATTCAATAAATACAGTAAATTTATGACAGCTTTTCTCAAGGAAAGATGATCTATTCTGCTATCTTAATAGAGAAGCACTGACCAGTCTCTGATACTCACATTCTACACTGGCACTTAGGGTCAGAAAATCAATAGATTACATCAGTAACAATACCTCTATTCCCTCTAGAAAGTTCATTTTTAGGAAAAGAACATGTAAAAGTATAAAGGTTTGTACATAAAATAGTTGTTATCTGTCCTTATGAAGAGGTAGGAAACAATGGAAAGTGTTTTTGAAATCAAAAGAAAATAATATCCTTAACCTGCCCCCCCCAGCACGAATCCACCCACCCCCCCCCACACACACACAGCCCTCTACAACACTTGGTCTTTATTACAGAAGAGAAAAAAGTATACATTATGACATTAAAAGTTCTCAATGAGCTGATCCCACTTTACCAATTAATCCATAGCTGGCATTACTTTATAAAACTAGTTTTCTAACATTCACTTGAAATTCCCTTTCCACACCTATTGTCTCTACTCTTGTTAATGCTATTTCCTCTCCCTAAAATCCTTTACATTCTTCTTTCTCTTAATCTAAAGTTTACTCTGTTTCAAGGCCAAATTCAAGACCTGCTTGACCTGCTTGAAATCTTTTCCAACAAAAATCAATATCCTTCCTTTCTGGCCTTTTACAATTACCTGCTGCTTCAGTCTTTCCAATTCAGTAATCCCCTAACAACCACAGAAGTTATGTTCCTAAAATGTAATATAGTTGGCAAAACCTAGTGGTAAAATCAAAGTCTCATACAAAATAAGGGATTAAGGAAAAAAATAATGCTTTTAAATCTGTTTTCCTTAAAAAGAAAGTTCGAGAAGGCATTTATTACAGAACAATATAGATTTATTGGAGTTCTCTTTTCCTATGGGCTTCCAATAGGAAATCCTGCTGCTGAAGCAGATTCTCTAAGTTAAATATTAGGAGGCAGCCCTCACTGACTTAGAATTCATTGTATTTTTTTATCCCTGAATTCTCCCTTGTTTCTTTCTTCCTTTCTTTTCTTTTTTCTTTCTTTTCTTTCCTTTCCTTTTCCTTTCTTTCTTACTTTCTTTTACTTTTTTTCCCCCAAATCTTAGCAAAATGCTTGCACCATTAACTGACTCAATTACTAGGTTGCATAACACAGTTTTCTGAACCAGTCTTCTTCATACTGTGAAGGCAGAGAACACACAGGTTTCCTACTTCAGCACTGTTTCACAGGCCCAGTGAGATGGCCTACTGAGGAAGATATGCAAAAACTATCATGCTCTGCTATTTGGGGACACAATTGTAAGACTGAGTTATCTCAAAACACTGGTTTTGATGAATTAGTATATTTCATTTCACTAACCACCCCATTAAAAAACAAGAGCCACAATCTAATAATGGAAAAAAAAATCTCCTTTTTTGTTTGGAGTCCATATAAATGTTTGCAGACATTGTTGTTACGTTCAGTAACATTTTATTTATTTTTTTATATTTATTTATTTTGAGAGAGAGAGAGAGAGAGAGAGAGAGAGAGAGAGAGAACAAGTGGGGGAGGGGCAGAGAGAAGGAGAAACAATCTCAATCAGGCTCTGCGCCATCAGCATAGAGCGCGATGCGGAGCTTGAATTCATGAACTATGAGATCATGACCTGGGCCGAGATCAAGAGTCGGAAGCTTAACCGACTGCACTACCCAGGCGGCCCTCTTTCAGTAATATTTAAAAAATCAGACCTTAGAATTTTAATTTATCATTTTCTTCCACTGAGGACACTCAGTGGTCAGATTTCAGTAATATATATATTTTCAACTCCAACTGCCTCGCATACTATATTTCCTCCCTACAATTCATTATTTCATTCAAGTATTCATGACATCTCTGTCTTCTTTGTGCTGGTTGCTCAGGGAGGCATAAGAGTTACAAACACAAATACCTGCTCCCAGCCTCACGGAGCTCAGCCTGGACAAGGGAGATAGCAACTGGCAGGGGATCCTCCTTTATTACTGAGACTAAAAACAACTGCTGTGGTTTAACTGTCCAGGAGTAAGAGACAACTGGACCAAGAAGCCTCAACTCTGTCCCCTTAAACTTCACCTTTCAAGTGGGGTTCACTTGAACTTCCAGCACCACCTTCATGCTGCCTTCTGAGGACATGTTATTCTCTCAATAAACAAACAAAACTTAAACTTACTTGGGCTCCCATTAGTACAATGGAGATGGATGGCATTAAAAAAAAAAAAAAAAAGACTTTGCTAAAGAGTTAAGGTAGAGCAAATAGAAAATTAAAAAAAAAAAAACTTTAAAAATCTCAGCTTAAAAAATCTCAGATTTCTGATCTCACATCGCTAGGTGACTTCTAGAGCTTACAGGCTCTATGCTACTGTTTAGCCTGAGATTGTCACACTCTTTAAGAACCTACAGAAACTGCCCATTTCCACTGCAGTTTCCTATATACAAAACGGAACTAAAACACAGAACCTGCGGCATTTCTTAGCTTTAAGAAAAACATATCACTAATTAAAATGATAAAGGCAACAATATCCTGAGAAAAATATCTTTAGCAAATAAACATAAGATTAACATATTTATTATATTAAAGAACTCATTCAGATTGACAAGAAGCAGGTATTAAGAGAAATAAATACAAATATCCAACCATGTTATGAGAAAATAGCAAATGAACAAGTCTGACAAATGAACAAGTTTTGTAACAAAATGAAACAAGTTGTCCCTATTAGCCTGTAAAAATTACCAAAAAAAAAAAAAAAAAAAAAAGGTGACAAACTAATGCCTGGGAAGGTGGGAGTGAAGCAGGGGCTCCTGAACATTGCTGATGGCAACATAAATTAGTTAAAGCCCTTTTAGAAAATAATTAACAATATGTATCATTAAGTAACAAAACTGTTCACACACTTTCATTCGGTCAACTTACTTCTGGGAAAAAATTCAAAGAATAGGAAAAGCTATGCGCAGGATGTTTTTCATTGTTGTGCTATTTGTAGTGGTGAGCAACTTTATACTCAATAGCAGATAATTAAGCAAAATACATTCAATACTAGGTGAAATATTATGGAATCATTAAAAATTACCAGCTCTATTAGCAAGATGGTTGTATTATGCTTCAAAATTCTTAAATTAATTTTCTAAAAGCAAACACTATACCTATATGAAATAGCTGAATTCTTTACTATATTTGGACAACAAATGGCACGTGCTGTCACACTGCCTGGTAAAAAGGAAAGGATGAACAGAAATGTTTAAAGGTTCACTAAAAGTATTTATAAAGCTAGAATAGTCTTTCACTAATTATAGTTGATTGTTTTCTAATAAAGAGAAAATGTTGCATTTATATTGAAATGGTCTTTTTTTTTTTTTTTTTTTTTTTTTTTTGGTACTAGGACCTTTTATATGCAACAGGCATTCAAACCTAACAAGAGCCGGGGCGCCTGGGTGGCTCAGTCGGTTAAGCGTCTGACTTTGGCTCAGGTCATGATCTTGCAGTTCGTGAGTTCAAGCCCTGTGTCGGGCTCTGTGCTGACAGCTCAGAGCCTGGAGCCTGATTCGGATTCTGTGTCTCCTTCTCTCTCTGCCCCTCCCCTGCTCACACTTTGTCTCTCTCTCTCACTCTCAAAAATAAATAAACATTAAAAAATAAAAATAAAAAAAACCTAACAAGAGCCTCTCACTAGTAGAAAATCAAGGGAATATATTTCTTTGTGGAGTAGGTTGGGTACATGCAATATTTGCAATAAAATATTATCATCACAGATGCAGCAGAAAAACTCAGCTGACATTGACCATTTCTACTCCTTGATATAGTGATATAAAAGACCTGAGGAGTAAGCTACATAAATATAACTGTTTTGATTTAAGAGTTTGTTCATAATTGCTAACCATGCAAGTTCTATGAGAAAGGAGGGAAGATCTAGAATGCACGGAGACCATTTATGTCAGACGTGGCACAAAAATTGTTGTTCATGAGCAAGATCTTTGATTTCAGAGTGAGCATTGTGATCAAGTGTTTCCAGAATGTGAGCAGAGTTTGAAGACATGCTTCATAATCTGCAACCCTTACTCCTGATAGAACACAAGTGCATTCAACAAGTGGGAAATTAATTGGTATAATATGACCAGATGGTATTAATAGAACAGTGAAAAGAATAAGGTAAGAAAACAGCTGAACATGTTAACAGTAACCATATTTTAACAACGAAGGGTAGAATTCATCTTGGGAATGGAAATTCTTAATATATTAAGAGTTTTACTGCTTTTAATTTTAACCAAATAAGTTCCAAATTTTAAGCCACTTCAGCAAAGACTCCTATAGTCAGAGGGTTATTATAATTCCTCTTTTCACTGTACCCCACATCTGTAGGACTTAAAAATCACAAAAAATAGCAATTTTCTATAACATGTTTGGTCACTGAAAGTAATTTTCAGGAAGTTATAGTATGGACGGAAATAAGTTTTGTGAGATGAAATACTATTCCAAAACATTCCTAATGTGGGCAAACCCCAATCCCCAGCTAATAAATTCCCAATATTATTAATTTTGGTAAGATAACAATACAAACTGGTGTAATTTCACACACAAGACCTGTACATATGCTGTAAGAGGTAAGTATGGGATACTTATGAAGCATAGTGGATGCAGAGATGGAGTTCTAGTCTCAGCTGACTGACGACGTGTCGCGATTGTATGTTACATGATGTATGTTGCTTAATCCCATGAGGCTCAAATGTGATCGCTAGTGTGTCTCTAGTGAATTTTTGCAATTACTTTGCCTGATATCTTAGTTTGGCCCTCCAAATTCAACCGGCTCTCTGCCTTGGAGGTTGACTTGAGTGGGTTGTATCAACAGACTTCCTTGCCCACCAGCATTCAGATGGGTTTGGTCAATGAGAAGCCCCAGCAGATCAGACATATGGTAATGGGAAAGGAGAACAAGGGCAGGGTATTTTTCCTCTGGCTGTCACCACTACAGTCACCTGAGGCTGCCTCTTCTTTTGCCTGAAAGTTCCTGCCCCTCTCCAAGCAGCTTGCTGTATGGGACTTTCCTCTGCGTCCTCTCCAGGCCTACAGGTGGAAACAGCTCTACAGCTACTGACCCTGGGTTTCTTCCCTTTCTTTTCATGGTTCAGGATACCCTGTCTACAACTTTGTAATCAATCCCTCTACATATAAATTTCTTCCTAAATGATCCCAATATGAAAGTGCCATCTTTTCCTACTGGGAATCTGACTCATACAATCACTTTTTAAAAAGCGTGATCAATGGGGCGCCTGGGTGGCGCAGTCGGTTAAGCGTCCGACTTCAGCCAGGTCACGATCTCGCGGTCCGTGGGTTCGAGCCCCGCGTCGGGCTCTGGGCTGATGGCTCGGAGCCTGGAGCCTGTTTCCGATTCTGTGTCTCCCTCTCTCTCTGCCCCTCCCCCGTTCATGCTCTGTCTCTCTCTGTCCCAAAAATAAATAAACGTTGAAAAAAAAATTAAAAAAAAAAAAAAAAAAAGCGTGATCGAGGGTGTAAACCAGAATCTAATGTCTAATGAAAAGTAGCTGTGTAAATTTGAATATTACTTTTAATGAGCTTTAAGGTCACTTAAAAGAAACTTCTCAAAAGCACTTATTTTATAAATGAAGAAAATTATTTTAAAACATCTTTTTGGCTAGATCATAGTCCAAATAATCCAACAATTACCTAATTTTACAGTAAACCATCTAGACCTGATGAAAGCAGATAGGCATGACTGGAAAGCAAATCTCTAAGTCATTTTCTTTAATACTGCCTTTGGCAGCTTGGTTTTCTTTTCTTTCCTTGTTTTGTTGAAAAAAATTAAGTGTGAATATGTCCCCAAGGGAATGAGAGTATTTAGTCAATGAAGTTGTTTAAAATAAACAAGAGGACTTGGCTCTATCTAATCTTTCTCCATCAAAAAACCCCACAAATAGTTTTTCATGCCTAGTTTGCTAAATGTGCACACTGTGTACAAAAATACCTTTATTTTCTTACTGCAAGAGACAAGTCAAAGTAAAACCTTCATATAAAGTAACTTCTTTTTAAGATAAAGAGTTGTCCTGGGAATTGACTTTACCTAGTTTCGTAAAATATTTGCTATGTAAGCATATGCAAAAATTCCTAGGTACAAAAGTTTGCACTTACAGCCAACTTTCTAATGTAATCACTGGTTTCAACATAAAAACTAATTTAGTAATTTTCCTCAAATAAGTACATAAAATTCACATCTAGAAACATTATGCTCTGGGTTACTAATACTGTACTCTTCTGCCATTTAAATAATGACAGCTTTCTGTTTATGACTACACTTTTGTCCTATGGTTAAGGATAATTTTTTTTTTAATTCTTCTGATGATTCAATCTTTAGCAATTAAATTATTGCAGAGCCTGTGAGCTATTGTGATTGTAATAGCTATTAGGGACATCTCCTTGCTTCAAGTATCTCTCCAATGTGAATTAGGCCTAATTAAATAAAAATAATGAATGGGTTTCAGTGGTAAGAAGAGCTGGTTCAAAGTGCAGAAAAAAATTCATTGTGTTGTTGAGCTGATTTTAATCATAAATGTCTGGGACCAGCACAGAGAATGCCAATTAAAGCTGAAATGAATACTAATTAGTTTCCATCAGCAGAAAAATAAAGATCCACATCATTAGTTTTCCCTCTGTCTTCTAAACGTGATTATAAACATTTAACCTTTTTAAAACATAATTCTTGAAAGTTAAGCAATATCAAGAATTTTTAATCTTAAAAACTAAGTTATTTAGTGTGAAATATTCAGACGAAATCTGGAAAGGCAATCCAGGAACTAAATTATATGAGGAAATACCTTTTTGCCAATGTATGTAATAGTATTAATACAGTGCTGGTTTTGGATTAATTATAAACAGAAGTTGTCATTGCTTTCAGAGCAACGTTACATATAGTTTACATATGACTGTAAATAACTCTGCAAGTGTTCAGAGTTGCTTTTTCATTTGTCTTCAATTAGAAATGATGTTCAACACTGAACCAAAATACTGCAGATGTTTGTTTTCTGGGAAAGATTCTTCCCTATTTTCATTGCTGCTGGATGACACTAACAGTAAGTTTTGCTCCACTTAAAATGGGTGCTCACTGAAAATTTGTCCATTCATAATAAATGCAACATTCCTGGAAGTTTCATCCAAATATGCCTTGTTCTAAAATATCAAAGCTGGTCATTACAGTACCCATTATCAGTGACCATTGGAAAAACTCTTAAAGGAAAACCTGGAAGAAACTCTTAGGAAAAGTCTTATCTTGAAGTGGGTACAAATCTCCAGTCCTAAGAGAACTCAGGTTCTGCTGGAAACATAGCAGGACTAGTACAATGCTCCAGATCTGTTTATCAGAAAGGTCTTCCTGAATTACTGTGGTCCCGCTCCAACCATATTTCAACACAAACTGAAGAGATTAGAACACTTGCCTCGGACTAGTTTTCAGAAATAAGCATTTCATTACTCACATAAATCCTATCTCAACCTTTTGAAGCAACTCAATTTCTGAAACATAATCAGTTTTAACAATATTCCCTCAAATAGATAATCTGTGGTTTCTTATTAGTGAATCTATAATATTCCAAAAACAAACCACAATAACTTTTAAAATTGCCTAGTGCCATTGTAAACAACTTTAGTGGAGAGGTGCCCGGGTGGCTCAGTCGGTTAAGCATCCAACTCTTGATTTCGGCTTAGGTCGTGATCACATATTTCATGAGTTCGAGCCCCACATTGGGCTCCATGCTGACGGTGTGGAGTCTGCTTGGAAGTCTCTCTCTTCCTCTATCTCTGCCCCTTCCCCACTTTGCTCTCTCTGTCTCTCTCAAAATGAATAAACTTTAAAAAAAATAAAAAATAAATAAATGACTTAGTGGAGTTAGGAATGGACACAAATCTCAGTTGTTCAATAAATTCTCAATTTGTTCATTTCTACACAAACAAAAAAGTTTCTAAGTAATTTTTACATTCTACATATGACCTAATCAAATTAAAATCAGATAATTTTGTTTAATCACAGAGATACTACATGTCAAATACTTTTATTTCAAAAAGCAATACTCTCAGAAGATCCTATATAATCCATCCTAGATGAACTGGCCATTAAAACCTTTCTTGGTAATCAATCATCATAGGCTCTGCTTGCAAAATACTAAAAAACATGGTATATACATAGGGTTCTTGAAGTCTAACCCTAGAGAATAGAACAAAGCATAACATAATACTGGGAAGAATTATAGCAAATCTAGTTCCAAGAGAAAAAAAGACTTTTAACTTTTTTTCTTTAATCACATGCCATGGTTAAGTACACTTAAAAAAAAAAAAAGCATTGTATTTTCTTAAAAACAGAAAAAGAAAAGAAGAGATAAAAAACCCAGCAAGCTCGATGCTATGTGGATTTAAGGTACCAAAGCTAAGAGCACATTTTATCACTGTTACCCTAGCTAAAGAATTATTGCCTCAATGGTAGATAGTGGCCCGGTACTTATTATGGTTGAGGACTTTGAAGCAATAAAACTTGAATTTAATCTTGCGACTCTTTTTCAGGCCTTGTTTACACAAAGTGGTTCCAGAGATTTTAGTTAGTAGCACAATGTTTTACAACTGTGTCATTTGCACATGTGACTGAGCTGATTTAAAGTTCAAAATAAACTTATTCACTCAACCATTTTGACAGTCAAAACAAAACTCAGTCCCATTTTTCAGTACTTTGAAATGCAAATGTATAATTGAAATTGGACACTGCTAAGCTTTCATTATGAAAGAACTTTCTCTACTCATGAAGGTAACATCTGTATCCCTATAATGTATATGACACAAAGACATCCTCAAGGAACCTTGAAGTTTTCTGGTGGCAGGGCAGGAGCCCCAGTGCAAACTCAGCCAGGATTAATACTTGAGCTATTCCTAGACCATACTAATCACTATTTTGGAGCAATATTGAAATAAAGAAGCTCAAATTATCCTATGACAATTTGGCTTTCTCCAAAGCTCTGGGAGCTTGAGAATAGCAACCTGTGATACAGGACTGTCAAAGTTAAAGTCAATGTTTATGTGTGTATATTAGCATTGCATTGCACTCCTTTTTAAAGGAAATATATTAAGATGTCTTTGCAGTTTGAGCCTTTTATCAAACTATCATCTGTCTTAAAAATGACCTCCAGAAGTTTTCTGAAAAATATTTTTGAAAAAGATGAGCTGAGAAATATTTCAATCATCTTTATTTCTTTATCTTTTCCAATATTTTTACTTAAATTACATTTTTAACTTTTTATTTTAAAATAACTGCAGATTCACAGGAAGTTGCAAAAATAGTATATAGAGTCCCATGAACATTTCACCCAACTTTCTCAGTGGTGACATCTTATATAATTATAGTATAATATTAAAACTAGGAAGGTGTTGGGGCATCTGGGTGGCTCAGTAGGTTGAGCGTCCGACTTCGGCTCAGGTCATGACCTCGCGGTTTGTGAGTTCCAGCCCAGCTTCAGGCTCTGTGCTGACAGCTTGGAGCCTGGAGCCTGCTTCAGATTCTGTGTCTCCCTCTCTCTCTGACCCTCCCCTGCTTGTGCTCTGTCTCTCAAAAATGAATAAATGTAAAAAAAAAAAAATTAAAACTAGGAAGCTGTTCTGTTGCAATACTGTTAACTAGACATTGCTCAGCTTTTATATGCATTCATTTGTGAATGTATGCATAGTTTTATGCAATATGATCCAATATATAGATTGATGTAACCACCTTATCACAAGGGAACTCCCTTTACAAGCAGCACTGTGCTGTGCCAATCTCTGTTCCCTACCAACCATTAATCTGTTCTTCATCTCCCTGGTTTTATCATTTTGAGAATGTTTAATAAATTCAATCACATAGTATAGGTAACTTTTTGAGAGGGGACTTTTTCATTAACTAATGAATTCTTGAGATTCATCCAAGTATCAATAGTCCAGTCCTTTCTAATGCAGAGTGATCTTCTATACATAGGCTCATCAGAATTTGTTTAATCATTCACCCACTGAAGAACACTTGGATTGTTTGCAGTCTCGGGTTATTAAGAATAAAGTTGCTATGAATATTCATATGCAGGTTTTTGCATGAATATAAGGTTTCATATCTTTGGGATAAATGCCCAACAGTGTAACTGTTGAGTTTTGTGGTAACTATATGTGTAGTTTTGTAGAAAAAAAAAAAAAAAACGACAAATGATTTTCCAGAGGGGCTGTACCATTTTATATTCA